CAAGATGAACTTTAATGTTTAACTCTTTTTCTATAACATTCTTTATGTGACGTTTATCTTGATGACCAAACGTTCATGGTAGAGCTGCACTATTGAATTTTCACTGACTATATTCACTTCAGCCGGTGTATTTGGAGTTAATGAAATCAAGTTTGCCTCATACAAGGAACCATCTACTCGTCTTGTCCCTTGTACTACCACTCGGTTCTTTATACTGAGTTGACATTTGGTTGCATAAGATTCAAACTTGCTGTTTTTTGAATTTTTATCTTGTGCGGCTAATATGGAAAACAGGTTTCTACCTATATTTGGAACATACCAGACATCTGAGAGTTTTATATACTGTTGTTTGTTATTTACTGTTGACAGCATATTTATTTCGCCTCTACCCACAGCAGCAAGAACTTCTTTTCCTGCAGCTTGAACAGAACATGGTGCGACAAACTTCTCAAAAGTAACAAAATTATCTGGATTGTTCGTTAGGTGTTTTGTTGCTCCATTGTCAATATACCACTTAGTGTTGTCTCTCAGTGTTTGATTACTGGCTGACGTGCGCAAAACTACATTTGATGTTTCATCATATGCTTTTCTTGGTGTCGCTGAAACATTTTTGGAATTTTTAGAAGGTCTTCCATCACTGACCCACTTTCTACATTGCCTAACCCAGTGTCCAGGTTTATGGCAATAGTTGCAGGTACCAACTGGTTTTGTCCTTCTAATGAAATCTCTTGATTTGTTGAAACTTGGCTTTTCAACATTTACAACTAAGGCGTTCTGCCTTGATGATTTATCGATTGTGTCGAAAGTCTTTATCTCTCTTTCGAAAGCACAGAGATGAGTGATTAAATCATCTATCGACTGCTTTTCTTCACCTAGCATTAGCCAACTTGATTTGAAATTTTGGAAACTATTTGGGAGAATCTGCATCGCTTTGCATACTAATAGCAGCTCTGGTAGTTTATTTTCTCCCGATGCCTGAAGCCCACTGTTTAATTCATTCCATAAAGTTTTCAATCTTGCAATTTGGCCGAATACATCTACATCCGCTATCCAATTGAAATCGAAAAAATTGCTACAAACTTGGAACAGTTGGTCCTTAGTTGACGCTTCAAAATTTCTTTTTAATTCCTCCCAAACTTCAAACGCTGTGTTCTTGTCCATTATCTTTTGGTATGTATCTTCTGTGACTGCATTTGCAATTACTGATTTGGCATAACTGTTTACCTTTCTAAACAGATCTGATTTATTTTTAAAATCTTTTGCCTGTTGCTCTGTTTGGTTTTCTAGTAATTCTGGTTTCGACAACTTCCCATCAATCACATCAAGTGCGCCCTCATGGTAGTCCATGAAATCTCGAACACGACGTTTCCAAATGGGCCAATCGGCTGCGCAACTTAACTGCTTTATTTGAAGCTTTGAATCCATTTCTTCCTTGTCTTTTCAATTTGACCTTTTAATTAGAAGCAAAATATCGATTTTCAGGGAATGAAGAAGCACGTGCTTTCTCTTCACTTCAGTCTTCACAAAGGAATCTTCCGATATTTCTTTATTCTAAATTTTCTTCGTCAAATCAATTAATTAAGAAAAACGTTATCTGGGTCCCATAACCTGTTAAATTTCTTATTACGTAGATCGCTTAATTAATTGATACAATATTGAAAGACATTAATAGACAAGAAATAAACTTTGCAACGTTCTCGACTTGTTTATTATCCACCGGATCAACAGAAAAGGAAAAGTGAAGTTACATACAAAGCAAAAAACATTTGGTCCAAAGAAAATAAATGTATACTATAAATCATAATGTTTTAATATAAAACATAAAACTTAACAAGATTCAGCAAGGAGTATTCCATTTATATACAGTGGACATTTTTTATTACCTGATCCGAGCCTCATTCAAATCAAATTGAAGTTCGACTACACGTTATCTGACGATATTGCTCTCACGATATGGTATCATTTGCATACAGTTTTGTTGTATTTTTCAGATTAGTTAGTAAGTCGTTGGTGTAGAGAATAAAGAGTAAAGGACTAATAACAGAGCCCTGAGGAACACCACTAAAAATTTCTACCCAGTCAGAAATAGTTTCGCCTTTGTCTTCTGTTTTTAAGAAACGATTCAATACATTTATACACCAATTCATTTACTCCATAAGCATTTTATTTAGCTAATAATCTTATTATCAATATCAAATACTTTGACAAAAATTTTATTATCAATATCAAATACTTTGGCAAAAATCAAGCAGGACTACATCACTACATCCACTGAAATAGAATTGTCCAAATTATAGGAAATAAAATCAAGAGTTTCAAGTAGATTTTTTGTGCATGATTTACCCTTAACAAAACCCTGTTGTTGTCTTACTATAATGTTATTCCTTAAAACATGATCTTCTACACTTTCCCGAATTACACTTTCCATTATTTTACACGGAACTCGCAAGTCGGAAATTCTCACCCTTTATAAACTCACGTACTTGTACATACAAGTCGACTCATATATATATATTAGGGTGGTTCACATTTGAATGGGGAAAAAAATTTTTTGTCTGATTTGAGTGCACACCCTCTGAAAAGTTTCCATTGGGTCCTAAAAACTTACAAACCAAAAATAAGACAAATCAAATTAAATTTAGAGGCTGCTCATGCATCTCAAAATTATATAAAAATGTGATAATTCATTATTTCGAAACCAAATACAAATATAACTGGAAAAGTATCAAAAGTTGGTTACTTACTTAATTCAAAACATAGATTTTAGATATTTTAAAATGCATTATTATTATTAAATATTCTATGGTCACCTTATTTGTTGTCAGCAAAAAGTAAAATAGGATAAATATCTGCATAATTTAACTGTGTCGATTTACTAGTAATTTGAGGTGATTTTGAAATACCGATACTGTACATATTTAACTACGTATAAAATGGCTTCTAATTCAAACTGTGGTGCTCTTACAACACGCAGCATGACTAACATATGGCTGATTGGACAGTTACAAAGTGAACTTCCAGTAAATGTATTGCCTACAACAGGTGATGTCCTGAGAATGTTTTTTTGTTATCATCAAGTAGAAAAGAAAACTGTACCTGAAAGTGCAAAACTGTCGTCAGATAAGGTCATGGACATGTGGAACAAGGCTAGAATACCAACAACCTACCATACTCATGTTGTAGAAAAAGTAAAGTCGGTAGTTGATGACTACAAGCTAATAAAAAAGAACAAAAACAGACAAAGTGAAGCACAACGAGCACGAGAGAAGGAATTTGAAGAAAAGGAGCACATGCTGTTTGATATTGCTCACCAACACGCCATGCAGCTCATCCGAATTCAGGAAGATATAGAATTTCTTGAAGACCAGAGGGGCAGTCGACGAATGCAAATGAGTGGCATTGATAAAGACCTGACCAAGAAAGAAGAGCGCACAGAACAACGTAAATGCAAAGAAGAAGAGAGAAAAGAGCGAGAGCAGGAGCGGATGACAGAAAGTACCTCACTACATTTATCTAGTTCTGATGACAGTGATAGTGAACAGCAGGACACAGAGGACAACTATGAAATTGAAATTCCAGTGTACTACAAAAAGCAGATCAGTGAAGTAGAAGACAGTCTGTCAAGCAGTGCCAGCAAAAAAACACGAACTGTGCAGGATATGTTGTCGTCGCCAGATGTTGCTTCAGCACTGGATAAAATAAACCTGTCAGATAGAAAGTTCACAGTATTAGCAGCAGCCATTGCACAAGCTAGTGGGCAAGACATCAGGGATACATCTCTGTCACGTTCCACAGTTCATCGTAAACGTCAGCAACATCGATCAATCGTTGACAGCAGTATTCGTCAACAATTTCAGGATCGTGACAGAAACCCCCTTCTGGTTCACTGGGATGGAAAGATCATGAATGATGATCCACACTCCAGAACTGATAGACTGGCTGTAGTTGTGACTGGCTGTAATGTGGAGAAAATCTTAGGAATTGTTAAAATTGCATCAAGCACGGGACAAGCACAGGCCAATGCAACTTTTCAGTTGTTCAAATTATGGGACGTTAGTGAAGACATTATAGGCATGTGCTTTGATACTACTGCTGCCAATACTGGGACGTCAAGTGGAGCATGTGTTTTGCTGGAGAAACTGCTCCATAGAAATCTCTTGCACTTTGCTTGTCGTCATCATGTACATGAATTGATAATCGGTGAAGTTTTCACAGTTCTGTTTGGTCCAAGCCGTGGCCCCAACATTGGAATGTTTGAAAGATTTTGAGCCTACTGGCCAAATATAAATCAGTCAAACCACAAGCCACTTGATGATGACAGGATGAACCACTCATTGCTACAGATGATGCGGTCTGACATAGTACCATCTTTGACATGTTTTCTTTCAGCTGACAGCTCATACATCCCACGAGAGGATTACAAGGAGTTGGTTGAACTCTGTCTCTTAGTGCTGGGTTATCCAATGCAGACTGATGGCAAGTACCATTTCCGTGTTCCTGGAGCATATCACATGGCCAGATGGATGGCCAAAGTGATCTACCGCAATGATTCAAGCTAACAGCAACTGAAACAAAAAGTTTAACTGAATTCTGCCTATTTGCAACCCATATATATGTGCCAGCATGGATGTTGTGCCTAATACCCAGTGATGCACCAGTCAATGACTTGCAACTTCTGAGCAGAATTGAACAATACTCTGAAAACAACAAGAATGTAGCAAGTGCTGCCACAAAAAAGTTGAAGAATCATCTGTGGTATCTCGGTACAGAAATGGTTTGGCTGTCATTGTTCTCAAATAAGGTTGCAAATGCTGAGAAGCAGTTGATTGTGGAAGCAATGACTGCAGTAGATTCTGACTGGAGTGTGCGAGGTGTCAAATATCCTGCAACTGAACTGGAACAGGTGAAAAGCAAACCACTGCATGATCTGGTATCAGGTACATCTCGTGCTGCATTGTTATCACTTGGAATGGATGTTGCTATCTTGCGTGAAACTGAACCAGACTCATGGAATGATCTTCCTTTATTTCAAAAAGTAGCAAATGTTGTGAAGTCACTTAAGGTCGTTAATGACACTGCAGAACGCACTGTGGCACTCATGACAAATTTTAACCAGTCTATAACCAAAAATAAAACAGAACTGCAAAAACTGATACAGGTGGTGGAGGACAATCGAATACGTATTCCGGACTCCTCTAAGCGCACATTAGCCAGTGCTCAAGCAGCTGCTGCTATGTTTTGAGTCTGACATACTATGAGTGATTAACAGAAAAACATAAACTGAGTACATTAATTGCCTCAAGTTAATTTCAGTTTCTCAATCAAAGATTAACAGTACTGAACTTTCGTTTGGCATAATCAAGTTGCCTTTACCTTGTGAAAACTGTTTGTTTAGTGTTGAATATTTTGTTATTTTGAGTATAAATTTGTAGAACTGTTAAATCTTACATGATTTTCACAAGAATGTTGTTCATTTTACTGCAAAATAAACATTAAACACAAAATTGTAGCACTGACCAATATTCGCTTATATGCTAAATATGGTGAAAAACTGAATGTCATTGAGCAACCTCTAAATATTGTCAGAATTGAATGAAATTTTGCACACATGCTAACTTTCAGCTAAGGAAAAAATATAGGGGGTGTGCACTTAAATATTAAAAAAAATTTTGTTTGAACTACCCTAATATATATATATATATATATATATATATATATATATATATATATATATATATATATATATATATATTAGGGAACGTAGTGACCGGGAAGTGAAAGCGTTTTTCGCGCATTACAATCGGAGGCCTATTGTATATTTTTCTAGAAGCTTGATTATATATATCTGCACAGTTGCAGTACTTTTACCAACTGATACTCATAAACTCTTAGCTATAAGAGAAGCGAATGTACAGGTTTATGTGAAAGAAGCAAACCCAAAAGCATCAACATATCCACTGTAAAGTTATTAATGATTGAAATACTAAAAGCAAATTATTCAAGATAGACCAAACTCTAAACTCGGTTTATTGTAAGACTTTTATTGCAAATCTAAATTCATGAAAAAAACACATTCACAAGCACACCATGACAAGTACATCCATTCATTCAAATAACTGTTCACTTTGAGCTTTCATTCTGAAGTTTTCTTATTTTTCGCAGAGTAGGTGACGATGCTGATGAACAATCAGCATTGTTAGCTTTCTTAATCAGATTTTTACACATACAATTAAACAAACTGCGAACCATGAGGTGCGCAGTTTCGTGTCCTTGAGCACAACGGTGTCGCACAAGTAAAGGAAGTCATTTTGTCCATTATCGCTGCTTCAAACACGGCATGCTGACTGCTGGAAGAACATGCCATAAACCTTTGAAGAAGATTTTCTTTTGAGTGTAGGTCATTGAAATAAAAAAAATGCTGCAGAGCACACAGCTAAGCAGTATTCTGTAGGTTCAGACAATCCACCTCGGTCATGCAGCTCAATGACTTTTGTGTGCTCTCCAGAATTCTCTTTGTCACAAAAGCGGTCCCCCAGATTTTCTTTGCAAGACTCACATTTCGTTTTTCTACTGATCGACCTTCCAATGTACCCAGAGGTGTATATGAGGGGCAGCATATCTTTTGGATCAAGATCAGTAGGATCATCTGCCAGCTCGTCACGCAACCACGTCCATTCTACAGTAGCGGAAGGAACAGTTTTTTCAGTAAAGGCTAGCTCCTCAAATACGCCTGACCTTATAGCAGTTAGAGTACGAATTTTTTTTTCACTTTCTATAATTTGACGCACACTTATATAGAAATTGGCACCATTGAATTGGCGGTACCAACCAAACCGCCCCTCGATGCAATCAGATGTCCATTTTCCAAGAAGACAGTAGGTAATTTCATCATAGTTTTCAAAAATATACGAGCAGAGTTGTGAAATTCCTCTAAACGTTTGCACGCAGGCTGTAAAAGTTTGGGTCTTTGTGCTTTTGTTCCACCTTTCAAAATAGTCTGCCGCATCAAGTAGATACTTTAACTGCCAATCAGTAGGAGAACTGACAGCTTCCAAGTACTTGTTTAGATTGTGTTTTCCTGAACAAATTATACACAAACATTTAGCAAAAATCTGAATTGGTTAAAGCTTATCAAGAAAATATACATGTAGCTCTAATGAAATGCAAAGTAATAGCCATTTCTAATCATGAGATACAAATAAATGAAATCACATTTTAAAGTTTATTATGCAATTGAATATAATTAAAGATAAAAATGGTACCAAAAAGCAAAAGGAAATCACTCTATAAATACAAAAAATAATTATACTAGCAGAGATTTTTAAAAATTTATTGTAACTAGACATATAAACATAGACTTCACCTTGAAAAGAATGTTTGACTCTTAAGATATTCCAGTCTTTTTATATACTCTAAGAACATTGCAGTGTCATTCCATCCTTTTTTATTGTACAGCTTCAAACCAGCCACAGTTGAATTATAAAAAATACCTGCAAGTTATACATAAATTTAAAAAATTGTTGTTATATAGATCTATTGAAATTATTAGATTTACTTTTAGCATGAACAGGTGAAGTTCGTTGGATGTTATTTGGTTTGAGACTGACCATTGTCAGTTTGTGAGCTACTTTTAAGTGCATCATTTCTTCAGTAGCATACAACTTTTCAACATGACGGAAGTCAGCAATTAATTTTGGAATTTCACCATCATCAACATCAGTACGGTCAGGTAACAAAAAAATGTTCTTATTGATCCAGCTGTTGAGGATATTTTTGAAATTATGTGTTGTATCGAAGAGAAGAAAAGTTTGTTGGCCATTCCGCATGCACGATGTTTCTAGTTTTCCACTGCAAAGCTCGGTATAGAAAGATCTGTAATAATCAAATAATTTAATTTCTCAAAATAGAAAATCAACAGACCTTAAAAAATATATAAATAAAATTATTTGTATAAGACTAAGGCTAAATGTACCCACCTATTTGTAGATAAATTGTCCATAGAAACAGCTAGCAAAGTGACATATCTCTTCAGCTTGGTTGTAACAATCTCAAAATTATGGCATAAAACAGCAGGGTTAAGACCAGCAACCGCTTTCAATCCTACAACATCTTTATATTTGCAACACAGCGATTGAATCATAAAACACAAAACAGTTCTAGCAGCTTCTCCATTTTCTGTCAAACCAAAGACAGACCCGTTAAAATACTCCAGTCGCTTTGCTGTGTGAATTTCATCACATATCAACATGACAATTTTTTCTGACTCAGAGAGTGCTTTCAACCTTGCTTCTAAGTAAGGTTGGTTAAGATCTTCAACATTTTCAGCAAAAACAGAAGACAATTGCTGAATTCTACGAACACTAGGAAGAATAAACAATTCTTTTAGAGTTTCATAGAGCTTAGGGCTTGTCATTTGCCACAAAAATGAAAGAGTTAGTAGTTTGTTAGAATATTTTCTAGCTTGTTTCTTGACTAAAGTCAGCTTTAGCTGAGCCTTTACAAATTCCAACAATGGTGCAAAGTCACCCAAACAGCCCTTTTCTATAATTATTCCCGATAATTGATTAATTTTGTTCATAATAGAACAAACTTCCTCTTCACAGAGCTCATCTTCCTTATAAGTGTTCTTCAAAAAAGCTAACAGATTAGAGAAATGTGTAGTGCTATTAATAGTATTTTCTTTTGATAACAAATGCTTGTACTTTGATAATCCTATTTCAACGGAAATCTTTCCAACATCTTTATAAATGGTAACTGTTAAGTCGTTCACTACAGTAATTGACAAAGTAATGTCGAGAGGCTCTTTCTCTTTATTATTATTAATTAGTACATATGACAGATGAGTGTTCATTTTGATACCTATATAACCTTCAGGAATTAAAGTGTCTTTAATTTTCTCAACAAAATCATCAAAACAAGTTACCTTTTCTTCTTCCATCACAAGATTCTGAATAACTCCATATCTTTCATTCACTCTAATGCCACTCGAGATGCCGCAGAAGCACGGGTAGATCTTTGAGGTATCCTTGGACTGCTCAGATAAGCTGGACAACTTGGTAGCTTGCTAGGAACAGCAAAAGGTTTCAAACGATTTAAGTTTAGCTTAACAGGATTGTAGTGTTGTTGGAGTTAACTGTAATAGAAACTGAAATATCAGTTAACTGATAAAATAAATTTCAGTTAACTGAAACTAAAACTGAAACTTAAAAAAAATTAAAAAACTGAAACTTATTAAAAAACGAAATAGAAAAGATTTAAAAACTGAAGTACAAACTCAAAAATGTTAATTGAAGTAAGGATGGATTTTCATATCTTTAACATTACGAGGTGGACTGCGCAAATAAATTAGGGGGCCAATGTATTTATTCAATGTATATGGTGAAATCTTAAATCATTTATGATCTTTGGTAAATAAAATTTAACAAGATTCCATTTTTACAATCGATATAAAACATCGCGTTGCAGTAGATTCGTAACATATAATTTGATTTAGAATAAAATTTGTATATGCAGAAAGCTTCAGGTCGTAGACAGGAGAGTTATGTATGGGAATATTTTCAATATGATTCAGTTACAGATAGGAGTACCTGTTTATGTGAAATCTCGAGCACATCAAGTTCACAAAGCACTTCAGCTTCAAGAGTTTGTGGTAAGACTTTGAAAGAAAAAAATGCAACAAATTTGAAAACTCATTTAGAATATTTTCATTCTGATGCTTTTAATAAAGTCAAAGATAAAGAAAAAGTGAAAAATAAATTGTCAAATAAAATCTGCAATGCTAGTGGTTCAAATCAGAAAATGCAATCTAAAATTGCTACTTTTGTTGATAAAATTAATGCATATAATGAAAACTCAAAAGTTTATAAGGATAAACTTGATGCTGTCGTTGATCTGTTTGCAAAGACAAGTTTGCCACTTTCCTTACTTGACTGTCCAGTGTTTCAACAATTTGTCAATACCATGGATTCACAGTTTAAATTACCAGGTAAGTGCAAATACAGCATATAAAGTTATTTATAATATATTATAAATTGAAAATACAATTTACATTAATTATAATAATTTTGATGTAATACAGGTAGAGCTAAAATTGATTCAATGATGGAGCAGTTAATGACAGAGACACATTAAACATATTGTCATATGTGCTTCCGGCAGTTCTTGATTTAGGGCAACATTTAAAAAATTGTCAGAGCTTGACTGAAATCAATAATGAACCCTTGGAGGATTCGTTATTTAATTTTGTTGAAACATGTTCTGCAGCACTATTAAAATCACTGTCAAGTCTGTTTCGTTATGTCCGAGATGCAACATCACCAGAATTTAAAGTTCTACCAGCCGCGGCAACATTGCTTGACTTGAGATACAACTGGACTTTGCTAATGCCTGTTAACTCTGCTGTTTTATCTATGGCTAAAAAATATATAGTTCAAAAAATAAATGTAAATCGCAAAGATAGCAATCAACTTCAAATTGATCAGGACCTGCAACAACGTCCGACGAAACGTTTTAAGCTGATGACCAGTCTAGTTTTGCCAACGTGCAGCCAAAGCCGAACAGATAAACTATTGAGTGTATATTCTGATGTAGAAGAAGAAATAGACAGATATATATCTAAAGTTAATAGCCAGTTATTGCCAGAAGATGAAGATTCAATTGTTGCATGGAGCAAAAAGACAGACTTGCCACTTCTTTCTGGTATTGCTCCAAATATACTGGCCTTGCCATGTTCGCAGGCTTTCGTTGAACGATTGTTTTCAACATGTAGCATATTGACCGAAGGTCGACAAAATAAATTGAGCAACAACCTTGTAATGAAGGAAGAAAATGTGAGATTAGCAAATAAACTTCTTGGTAATGTTTCTTGGCCTGTTTTGACTGATGATACCAGCTTAGAAACGGATTATGAAAACTTTTTTCTAACTTATTTGAATTGTATTAATACTGCATGTTCAATAGTCTCCAAAAAGGACCGCTTTAGAAAACCTTGAATGGATATTAACTTGTATAACTACAGTTTGCGCAAGAATTCTTTATATAGGTTTTATATATGTAACCCTACATTAGAGAATAAAAACGCATATATTAAATCAAAAAATTATTTTATTAAACTAAAGTGAGTTAAAGAAAAAGAATATTATGACAATAAGTTTAAAAAATGTAAAACGTCTAAAGAAAAATGGTCCGAAATAAATAAAATATTAAGACCAAAAATTGACAAAACACATCTATTCAAATGTAATGATTCGTTGTTAACAAAATTGAATAGAGTTAATGAAATTAACACATTTTTTATTGATCAATGTAATAGACTTATTTGTCTTAACACTGCAAAATTTAATCTGAACAGTTCGATGATGATGGATCATGATTTTCCATCGTTCTTCTCAACCGATGCATCGCCTGATGAGGTGATAATGATTGTTAATAGACTAAAACTAAAAAACTGTTTTGACAGTGATCTTTTATCCACTAAATTATTAAAGGGTACTATTTACCCCATAGCTGGTTCAATTGCCACTTTATTCAACAAATCAATCCTCGTTGGCCAGTTCCCTAATAGACTGAAATTGGCAAAGGTATTACCTATTTTCAAGGGTGGTGATTGCAATCAATATGGCAACTACAGACCCATATCGATTCTATCAGTATTTTCAAAAATTTTTGAAAAACTAATGTTTGATAGAATGTGGTCTTACATATCTAAACACAGCATGATTAATGGAAATCAATTTGGCTTCGTTCCCAAGTCATCAACTGAGAAGGCTATTGCTATGATGTATGGGACTCTCATAAATAATTATGATTCAAGGAAGCTTAGCTTAGGCGTTTTTATAGATCTAAGCAAGGCATTCGATTTAATTGACCACAATATTTTATTGTATAAACTGTCTAAGTATGGTTTTCGAGGTATAGTACTGAGCTGGTTCAAGTCTTACTTATACAATCGGTGTCAATATGTCTGTATTGAAAGTGTTGAATAGTTGCCCAAGGAAATAGTTTCTGGATTTCCCCAGGGTTCAATCTTGGGACCGCTTTTGTTTATTCTGTTTATAAATGTGTGTACCACTATTTTATTTGCTGATGACAAGACTATATTCTTGTCTGACGAAGACCCGATAAGACTATTTTCTGAAATGAATAACCAACTGGTTAAATTCTCCAACTGGTTCACTAGAAACAGGTTGGTTCTGAATTCAGAAAAATCCTGCTATTTAGTCTTTGGCTCTAAAATCAAAACGAACAATGATATCTTCTCTGGCCTAACCATTCACATGATATCCAGAAACTCGTCAGCTAAATTTCTGGGAATTATTATCCAGTCTGACTTGAAATGGAATGAGCATATAAATTTGTTGGTAAGCAAATTATATAAAATTACTGGCATTATTTATAGATCACGCAATAAATTAGGTACTAAAATCATGTTAATGCTATATTACTCCCTAATCTATCCATATCTCCTATATGGAAATGTTTTTTGGGGAGCTTCTTATGATTATTTAATAAAATCATTGACAATAGTACAAAAAACGTACGTTAGGGTTTGTTTTTTTTCTGAAACACCTTGATCATGCACTGGCAATATATTCCGATAATAGTATCCTCAGTATTGAACAGCTTAATAGGTATCTAACCTTGTGTTTCGTTTATAGAGTGTTATATGATGCTGAGTTCAACATGTTAGGCTCATTTGAAACAGTGTCAACAAACACTAGGCAAAAAGGTTTGTTGATACCAATGACTTGCAAAACTGATTTAAATGCTAGATACTGGGCGGTAAGAGGAATTCGTCTTTGGAATTCCTTGGAACTAGGTAAGAAAAAATTTTCCGGATATAATAAATTTAAAAAATATATAGAAAACTTATGCAGATCAATGTAAGTATGATGCTTTCTTTGTTTAATTTTGTCGTGTTTTATTTAAATGTTTTACATCTGATTGAATATTACTTACTTTAAGTTATAAAAAAGGAATTATTGGGTGTATTTATATTTATCGATATACTAAAAATGTTTATATTTGTATCTCATATTGTTGCACAACTAGTTAAGGTGGTCAGCACATGCTTTCGTATATATGATCTCCTGTTTCTTTTCGAATAAAATTCTGGAAAAAAAATATATTAATAATTTACGTTTAAGTGCATTTTATCGGATTTGCCATTTTGCCTTTTTTTAATTATTTTTTAACAATCAGGATCTGACAGACGCAGAAACTGTTACAGCATGCAAGGCAGTAGTATAAAATTAAACGATTAAGTAAATAAATAAATAAAAAACGGAGAAAGAAAAATGTTTAAACAATGAAAGTAAAATAAATTAAATAAAATAAATTGGCAATAAAATTCAGTAATGGCATTAAAAGGCATGTTAATTGACTAGATGATGACTTAGTGAGTTAGTGAGGTGATCGATAAATAAAAACTAGTTGTGTGAATGATAAAGTTTTATTGAGTGTGAATATGTTTGAAGTGTCTTGTGATGAAGGTCTTTTCCTGGTATGTAGATTGGTTGGCGACTTGATAGTTATGCTTGCGTTGACGAAGGTTGTGTGTTGTAGTTTTAATTGACGGTAGTAGAAGATATTGAATTATATAATTCCATGGTAGAAGATGGATGACTTGGTTGTTGTTATTTTCCACTTTTTTGGACAGTCTTGAATTGAGTGTGTTGAATATCTGAGTGACGGATTTGATGCAGGTAGATAATTTTTTGATGAGAAATTCTAGTTGTTGAAGTTGTTGTTGTGCATATTTGATGCGTGAGATTATGAGTGATTCAGTAATGTCAAATAATTTGATGCCTCTGAGACCATGTGAGCGAAGTGTCTTGAGTGCGTGAAATGTTTGAAAGCTCTTTGTGATGATGTGATTGATATGAGGTGCTATATTAAGTGTGGGGGGATTGTGATGCCTAATATTTTTAATTGACTTGTTCAAGTGATTGATGGGTGTTCTGGAGTTAATATTATTTTCCTCCAACTATTGTGAATAATGAGTTCGAATGATTTATTGAGATTAAGTGACAGATTGCATGGTTTTGACCATGTAGTTAATGAGTCAAATTTTAATTGGATGGCGTTTGAGTTAGAAGATCGGATGACAAGGTTGGTGTCGTCAGCGTATTTGATAATGTGATTTGAGCTATTAAAAGTTTTGATAGTAGAAGCATTGATGATAAAGGTAGATGATCCAAGGACAGAACCTTGAACTACGCTGAAATTAATAGGTAGAGTAGATTAAAGAGTAAAGCTAAAGAAAGAAGAATGACTCCTATTAGAAAGAAAATTTATTATAATATTGTAAATGTTGTCAGGTAGAGAAAGAGAAGCTAAGTTACCAATTTGAAAGTGAGAAGAAATTTAGAAAAGTTGAAAGCAATAAGGTGAACATAATTATTATTTTTAATGAAAGATGTTATTGTAGAAGTAAGAGAGAAGATGGCGGATGCAGATGAACCTGTAGGGCGAAATGCAAACTGATCAATAGTGATTTGATGGATAGATGGTTGAAACATGGATAGATGAATGATCTAACGATAAATTTTTCTAGAATACGTAAAAGTATGGGGGTGATAAATATTGGGCGATAATCTATTGGTGATGATGGCTATTTTGTTTTAGGAATTGGATGAATTGGGCTGGATTTCCATTGTGATGGGATGAATGGATGCATTAAGCAGTGATTGTAAAGTGAACTTTGTTTAATTTCTTGTCACGTAGATCGTTTTAATTAATTGATATTGAAAGACATTAAAAGAAGAGAAATAAACTTCTTGACTTGTTTATTATCAACCGGAACAACAGAAAAGGGAAAAGTGAAGTTACATACAAAGCAAAGAACATTTGGTCCAAAGAAAATAAATGTATATAAGTTTGCTTTCGAATAACCTGATTTATTAATCTAAGTAGAAAAATTAAATTCCAGGATCGTTTACAAAGCCAACAATAATAAAATATAACCACGTGCTATTTGCATTTATATATAACATAATACCAAAGTAATGAAACCTAATTTACAAGCACAGAATAGAAATACATAAATAATTATATGAAATATAATTTACATCTCTCTCCCTCAAGTCACTTTTTGAGGTACATAAAGTGACAATTTATTAAAGTGAAAAAAATGTGATTCCTTCTTCTTCTTTCCGCAGTCTACTTCGAAGATCGACGGTGAAATCTTACTAAGAATTTTAAACGGACCAACTCTTATTCTGTCCATTCTACCTCTATTAAGTTTACTCCCATTCTGGATATAGACTTGATTGCCCACTTCAAATTCGTACTCTTGACGATTTTTATCAACCCTTTTCTTGTTTATTTCAAAATTTTGTATAGAATTTCGACCGGCTTGTATTCTATCTGCAGATAAATCGCTTTCCGGTAAGTCATATGGAGTGATAGTTGACTTTATACCGTTTAATAAGTATTCCGGTTCAAATTTCGTGAAACTATTGTTAAATTTCTTGTCACGTAGATCGTTTAATTGATATAATACTGAAAGACATTAAAAGAAGAGAAATAAACTAAGCAACGTTCTCGACTTGTTTATTATCCACCGGATCAACAGAAAAGGAAAAATTGAAGTTACATACAAGGAAAGAACATTTGGTCCAAAGAAAATAAATGTATATCATAAATCATAATGTTTTAATATAAAACATAAAACTTAACACCTTCTCATTTTATTTAAAACATTAGATGACCTTAACCTAAATGTTCTAAAGACCCATCGCGCACATCAGATTCTTTAGTCTTGGTCCTACCATTGGTTTTGTCAGGGCATCAGCAACTTGAAGTTTTATCGCAACTCGTTCAACTGAAACTTCTTCTTCTGCAACTTTTTCTCTGACAAAGAAATGTCTAATGTAGATGTGCTTTGTTCTTCTGTGAAGTTCTGGATTGTGTGCTAAACGAATTGCTGCTTCATTGTCGACAAAAATTTCTGGCTTTTTCTTTAGATCTACAATGTCGTTCAACAATCGTTTGAGCCATATCACTTCACGAGCTACTTCACTTGCGGCAACGATTTCTGCTTCAGTAGTTGAAATCGCAACTGAGGGTTGACGTTGGCTAAACTAACTGATCACGCTTCCTCCAAACATACAGATCACACCTGATGTCGATCTTCCACTAGATTTATCTCCTCCATGATCGGCATCACTGTAGGCTATAAGTGTATTGTTTTGACCAGACTTGTAAATAATACTGACATCAGCTGTGCTTTGCAAATATCTGAAAATTTGCTTTACTTGTGTTACATTGAACTCGCAGGATTTTTTTAAACTTCTGGAAGCTAATCCAACTGCATATGCAATATCTGGTCTTGTTCCCGTCATCAAGTACATCAATGCTCCAACTGCTGATCTGTAAGGAAATTTCACTTCCTCGTGTTCATTTTTGTTTTCATCGAACTTCTCAGATTTTGAAATCGGAGTTGTACAGGATTTACACTGACTCTTCCCAAATTTTTCATTCTTGTATACGATGACTTTAATATTTCCCTTCTCATTTTGATTAATCTCTAATCCAATCCAATATGTTGCAGGTTTAGATGTTATCTTGAACTCTGACTTTAATTCTTTTTCTAAATTTTTTTGTGCTTCTTTATCAGTTCATGCAACTAGTCCATCATCAACATACAGTGCAAGTATGAGTTTCTTTCCTCCCTGTATTCTAATGAACAAACAAGTATCTGCATCACTTTGTTTGAAATGTCTCTTTTTCTTAAATTCAGCAAAGCGTTGGTTCCAACATCTTGGAGTTTGTTTAAGTCCATAAAGATTTCGCTTAAGTTTACAGATTCTTCCTGAATTATTTTTAAAACCTTCAGATTGCTCCATATAGATATCTTCATCTAATTTGCTGTATAGAAATGTTGTTGACACATCAAACTGCATGAGTGACATCTTTTCATTTGCAGCAACATTTAATAGTGTTCTTATAATTGAACTTCTCACCACAGGACTATAGGTTTCTTCATAGTCAATTCCCTTCTTCTGCGAAAAACCTTTTACCACTAGCCTGGCTTTAAAACGTTCAACAGAACCATCTGGATTGTGTTTTACCTTGTAGATCCATTTGTATGGTATTGCCTTATAGCCTTTTGGAAGATTTACCAAATCCCACGTTTGATTTTCTTTTAATGACTGCATTTCAATGTTCATGGCTTTAAACCATTCATCTTTTTTATCACTTTGAATGGCATTTTTGTAGCTCTCTGGTTCAAGTATTTCACATAATGCAGACATAATAAAAAGATCACAACGAGATGGCTCTTTGGTATTATTCCTGTCACGTAAAACCATACTTTTAGTCTTTTGATTACAACAATCATATTGATCTTCTTCATCATATAAAACTGAACTACGGTTGTGAACATTTTCATCAGAATGCCATTTTTCACAATTTCTTACAATGTGACTTGGCAATTTGCAATAATGACATATCAGCCGCTTTGATTTGCTGACAAATTTATCTTGTTTCTGACCCTCCATGTTTTGAGATGACTTTTCAGTTGTTGCTTTGACAAATAAAACTTTATTACTTTCAGATTTGTCTTCCAAGAATCTCTCATAGCTACACAATTGATATGTGAGTGTTTCAATTGTTCTTACAGTCTTGTTTAACAATCTCCAACTTGCAGTAAATGAAAAATACTTTTCTGGCAAAGTTTCAATTATTTGACACATCAGTCAGTTTTAATTATTTGACATATTAAGTCATTCATCTTTTCCTAACTCGACCTTTAAATCTTTACAAAGATTATTGATTTTTGTAACATGAGTGACAACATCATCACTTTCATCCATTTTATAACTGAAGAACTTCATGCATAAGTTGTATGCTTTATCTTCATTAACTTCATCATACAATCTATGAAGTTCTAACCAAACCTTTCTGGCATTACTGAATGAACTAACTTTTTCATACGTTTCATCGGTCATGTTGGTTGACAGAATTGTCATAGCATTTCAATCTGCTTTATTGAATCTGTTCAAAGCAGTTTGATATTTTGCTATCTCATTTTCATTTGAGTAATCGATTAATTCATCTAGAACTTTTAATTTGCCATTTACTACGTCCATTGCATCAGGAATGCCGCGTAAAATTATACAAACTTTTGATTTCCAGTTCAACCAATTACTTTTGCCTTCTAGGTGTTTGATTTGCACTTTTGTTAGATCCATTTCTTCCTTGTCTTTCAATTTGACCTTTTAATTAGAACCAAAATATCGACTTTCAGAAAATGAGGAAGCACGTGTTTTTTCTTCACTTCAGTTTTCAAAAAAGTATCTTCAGATATTTCTTTATTCTAAATTTTTTTCGTCAAATCAATTAATTAAGAAAAACGTTATCTGGGTCCCATAACCTGCTTAATTTCTTGTCACGTAGATCGTTTTAATTAATTGATATTAATATTGAAAGACATTAAAAGAAGAGAAACAAATTTCTTGACTTGTTTATAATTAATCGGAACAACGGGTCCGTCTGATAACCCTTGGAAGTAATTCTTTTGAAAGATCTATTTTTGGTGCTGGAAGGGCCATCCGTCGAGTAATAACGACGACAGTGTTTATATGTAGGCTTTTTAAAGCTGTCTTCAAAGTATTATCGTCGATTATTTTTGATAAAACCGCATTCATTGTTGATGACCATTTTGAGAGGAGAGTGGTCTTTATGTCCCGTTTAGGACGAGGTTGTATGATGATATTATGGCACGGCTGGCTTAGGTTATAGCATTGGAGAAGGAGAAATTGTGAGGCTATTAGCTTTGAATGCTACATCTCGGTTAACATCTGGCTCTCTGAATGCAAGTGCCGTCCTGATGCGACGGCATAGCAACCAGTAACCAGACGTAATGCAGCATTCTGGGAGCGTTGGAGACAGGAGAAACTTGAATTTGACGTCAGTGATGCTCAGGCAGAACAGGCATACTCGATTGTTGAATGACCGATAGTTTTGTAGGTCTTTAGAAGAGTTTCTTTATCCTCACCTTAGGTAGTACCACTGAGTGCCTTTAAAATACTGGTTTTTTTTAGAGATCTTCGATGCTGCTTCTTTATGGTGTTGTAAAAAAGAAAGCATCGTGCCTATAGAGTGAGACCTAATATTTTAGGGTTGTGTTCAAGAAAAAGGAGATTGTTATTGATTTTGATTGAAAGATGGTGATGATATTGTGATGTGTGGGATGTGAAAAAAGTGACTGTGGATTTGGAGGTGGAAATCTCCATGTTTCTGTTGTTGAAGAAATCATAGAGCTACGGCAGGTGCTAATTGAGCCGGTGGGTCAGACTATCTGCATCCGGACCAGTAGTGTAGACAGTGAAATCGTCTGCATAGGAAATAATTTTGATGTTTTGAGGCAGGTTTGGAATCTTGGAGACGTAAAAGTTAATCAGAGTTGGTGACAATACAGATCTTTGAGGTACTCCTGAACGGATGGTACGCTGTTTTGATGATTGTCGATGGAACTCTGTTGAGACGGAACGTCCGTACAGATAGTTTGAAAGCCAGTGGACAATTGACCGGGGAAGCGATGACAGTAGGAGGTCAGAGATTAGGGTACAATTGTTAACGGTATCAAAGGCTTTTGTGAAGTTCAGTGCTGTTAGAATTGTACGAGCTGGCCTTTTCTAGTTTAACCCGTTTGCGATGTCGGTAACCATCGTAGTGAGAGCTGTTGTTGTTGGGTGAAGTGGGCGAAAACAATGTTGATGGCTCGCTAATGTGAGATGATTTGAGATGATCGGCAGTTGGCATTTTTCAAATATTTTGGTCGCCGGACAAAGTAGATATATGGGACGATATGATTTTGCGTTGCTAACTGGGTTGCCGGGTTTTAGTAGGGGGGTGATCAGTGGTTTTTTTAAAAATAAATTTCTGGTATCCTACAGGTTCGTAGGAATTCATTGAAAATGTAAGTTAGGAAGGAAATTCCCATTGGGCCTAGGTGCTTTAGGTGAAATATTGTCATGTTGTCCGGTCCTGTTGCTTTGAACGGTTTTGATGTTCTAATTGCTTCTGCAACATGGTTAGGTGTGATGGTAGAGTGATCGTCAAGCGGAAGTTTCTTGACGGTTTTGTTGCCTATTCTATTTTGTTTGTTTGATGAATGTTTTGTTGCAGAGGTGAACAGTTTGTTGGATAAATTGGCCATTTGCAGGTTATTGGTTATTGATCTGTTGTTGAAATTGATGGCGATATTTGAGTATTGAATTGGTTTGCCACTGAAAGTTTTGATGGTACTCCAGAGAAGATTGGAAAAAACTGGCTTTAGATTCAGCGGTGAAATCATCCCATTTAGCTTCAGTCGATCCAACAAACAGTTGCAACAAACCTTTTCCACTTGGATGTACACGGGGTTTTTGTCAACGGAGCGGGCCATTCTGGCTATCCTGCTTCGTTGCCTTCTCCTGAAAGCCAGAATTGAATCAAATCCAGGTCCCCCAAAGATCTGGATTTGCCCTGGATGCCATCAAAAAATCAACAAAATATACCTGTATACCTGTCAAGCACGACAATCTCATAAAAGATTCTAAATAAGCTTAAACATTATACAAATGCATGATACAAATCTAATAAAATAATAATTAAAAATAATAAAATTAAAAAAAATCAAAAATTATTTATTAATAAACTATAAAATGTGAAAATTGTAAAATTTGATGAGTTTGATGAATGATTGTTTATGGAAACTAATCACATAATTAGAATAAATATAACGGCCTTCGACATTACCAAAAATAATTAAAAGTTGAAAAAATTAAGGTTTTTTGCATATCCCTGTTTCAACCCATAAGAAAGTGCTGTATATTAGTAATTAGGCCTCTCCTTGAAACTAATTAAGACCAGACTCTAAAGCGCACTAAAAATGTGCGCGAGTTCGTTCGAGGGCCTGTAGGTATTTTAAGTGTATGGTTACCTGAGTTTGAACCGTCGCGAACGTTACCATCGTTGTCGTGTTAATAAAAGAAATGTTTATGAATTTTGTAAGAGGTTTATCAACATTTTAACAATTCTGTTATAAACTTGGCTAATTGTTTGTTTAATATGGCTAGCAACAGTTCTGGTTTTGTTAGCAAACACGGTTATATGCTTCTTTCATTTTGTGTTCTCTTATTTTAGTTTTTTAGTTTACTAGATAATGAGTGTTGAAAATGACATTTACAAACATTTTGTTTATCCAAGTTATGTTGAATCTTGGAAGACGCATAGTCAATTAATTCGATCGTTTGATTAAATCGATTAATTTGTATTTTAAAAATACAGTCACATACAACTGTGTGCTCTGGATCTAAAAATTTGGCTTTTTTTTTAGGTTTGAACTAGGTATACATACAGTTATACACTATCTATTGTATAGTATAGATAGTGTATGTATACACAAGCGAAAAGAAGTACCCCCATCAATAATGTTGGGTTGATCACCATTAGCAACATCTTTATCTATTATTAATTGGGCATAAAAATATGTAGTTGATGCCAAATTTTTTTTAGATGATCAGCAATAACATCTGTCATCTGTTTTGCAGAAACTGAGATTACCCATTTAGAGAATAAATTTTTTAATTGGTAGATCAATTGCTTTGAAGCCCAGCTCTTTTTTAGAATTGCCTGAACATTCTCTAATGTGAATATTGTTTGCTGCTTTTGTGGACAAATTAAGTTTTTTTTTATTTTCGTTAACAACTGGTATAATTTCATCATCATTGTCCCCAGATTGTGAACTATTTAAGTTTTGTTAATGTCAAAGTTGCAATTACTGACATTATCCCGGTTTTAGTTAGAAGCATCTTCATTGACTTTAGGACTAGGATGTTTTGGTAAAACGGGAGATAGGTACTCCTATGGTATCGTCCATGTTTACAAACAATCATAATGTACTTTTAATAAATTAACTCCGCCCATTTTGAATTATCTAGTGCTTGATTATTTATTTATATCAAATTGAAAATAATTTAATTAGGTAAGTTTTTTAGATCATTACTTGTCAAATAGTTGAAATAGTGAACATTAAATAAAAAAAAGTTAAAATACGAGTAAATTTCTGTTTTGATAACAATCAATAGCTTATGGAGTGGTTAACAGGATTAGGGTTAGGGCCTCCCTTTTTAACAAAATTTTCAATCATTTCACAAATATGGAGTGGTTAAAATTTTCAATCATTTTTGAAATGATTAAAAATTTTGTTAAAAATGGAG